CAGTGGCGCCCGCCGGCTCCCTGCGCAGCCTCGGAGCCGGTGCCCTCGTGCTTTGGTGGAGAGCCCGTGAGCACACCCTACTTTGGAGCCCAGCGTGGCGCCTTGTTGGTTTTTCTGTTTTACTTTTGGCAATTTGACAGAGACAAATGATATTTTTATGGCTCGCCCACTGGCTACCCCTCTCCAAGCCCATATGGTGCAGGGAAAGGGGTGAGGGGCAACAGGCCATGGACAGCAGCAGTCTGGGGCTGGGCCCCCATATTGAAGCTGGTAACTAACTTTGTTCCTCCATATGACACTTGTGTGATTTTTACTATTTTTTAAAATTTATTTTCAATTTTGTGTGAATATGGTCAATTCCCCTTGGTTTCCTGTCATGCTTATTGAAGAATGCTCTCCCAGGGCCGTGTGAGCGTCCACCCATCCCGGTGTCTCGGTCGCGCGCTGTCTGTCTGCTCTCTGCTGTGAGTTATTCTGTACCGACGCGGTCTGGCTGCAGTCTCAGCTCTGCCCTTGGCTAGCCGCTCACCGCAGTCCTGTGTCCTGAATGACCTGACCATCCCTTGGTCATACAGAATGGTTGAGGCCAGCCCGGGAGAGCAGGGGCAGCAGGTGCCGGGCCGGCGGTTGGCCCATGGGTGCGTGGGTGCTGCTGAGAGGAGTCCTGCCTCCCTCATGCCAGGACAGGGCTCAGAGCCTTTTAGAAATTCGTACCTAGTTTTTACATTTTCAGAGATTATACACATATGTTTTTAAAGGATTCTTTGTTTATGGACCGGCAGGTGGCGTGGTGGTTAAGGGCATTGGACTCCCACCTGGCCGACCGTGGTTCGAGTCCTGGGCCTGGCGACTTGCTTTCTCTCTCTTTCTCTCTTGCTCTGTCCCTCTCTGGTCAAATAATAAATAAATAAATAGGTAAAGTTAAATAAAATAATTCTTTAAAACAGAGAATTCTTTGTTTAATTTTATTCATTATCGTTATTCTTTCGCTTGATGAGAGAGCAAGCTGCCAGGTACAGGGCCTGAAGCTCATCCAGCCCTGTGGGAGTCCCGTGCCCCCACTGCCCGCCCGCCGCCTGCCAGCCCCAGATTTGCAAGAGGACACATGAGCTCCCCAGAAGGAGGCAGCACGGGGCGCCGTCAGTCCACAGCCCTCCTCTACCCCTCCATGCTGCCAGCGTTTGGGGCATGCACGCACACCCACCTGGCATGTTTTTCAAACTGACAGGACTGGGATTTGAACCATGGTCAGCCATGCAGTGCCTGGGTCTGTACTCACAGGACCTGACCATGTGCTGCAGGGCCAGCCCCGGCCCAATAATATGTTCTTTCCTTAGTATTTTTCCGCCCACAGTTTCTACTTTTCCATGTTCAGAGAAAGACGTCTCCATGCAGTAACAGTAATTAAGTTACTAGGGGTGCCGGGGAGTGACTTGATTAGAAGTCATCTTATTCCCAGTCAGGGCTTATCTTGTTCAAATGCCACATAATCGACTGCTTTGGCTAAGAGCCATAACAATGATGATAGTAAATACTGAATTCCATGGTTTTTCCTCCAGTTTTAACAAATTTAATGTTCAACTTTATTTTTATAATCAAGTAGTGTCATCTGACATCCTGAAGTATAATTATTTTTCTCTTTTCAGATAATTAGCTTATTAAATGTGTTTACACCACAGAAAACTCTAGAAGAGTTTCAAGATGTGTAAGTATCGCTTTATTCAGTAACGTATTACACAGCAGAAACTGGGAACGTAGGAGAGAGAGCTGCTACTTTTACACTGAGGAAGTGCAGGTGGCGATGTGCTTTGATGGTGTCAAAGGTGCTTTTCTCCGTGGGAGAGAGACATGAAGAGAAGCAGGTGGAACGCCCGGCAGCGCCCCTCCTGGCCAGTCTGCATGTGGTGAGCCAATGTGCTGGCCATGGGGGGGGGAAGCGGGGTGGGGCGGGGCGCAGCCAGCCCCCGCCGCCGTGCCCACCCGCCATGCCCCCGAGCTCCTGCATACCTGTTCCGTGTGGCCATCCCTGTTGCTGATCGGCTGCGGAGCCCGGTTCCTGCGTCCCGCTCTGTCATGGTGTGCACGTGTAGGAAACACGTGCTAGCCATGGCTTCGGCGATCCCCTGTTCTCGGGCCCCAC